TGCAGATCTTTTTTTTAAATTTTCTCAAAACATCATTTTCACAACATGGTCCGTTTCTATTGTCCAGACCCCATATAGCTCTTTATTATTACATGAAAATTTTTTAAATTTTTAAATTTTTAATGTAATATTAATGTTTATAGCCAAAAAAGGTTTTGTTAGCTAATAAATTATTATGAAGGGTCAAGGCTTGCATCACGAATTGCATCTTGTGTCAGTTGTATATAATAAAAATTTTTTGCTATACCAAAAATAATCACAACACTTGTGCAAAAAATTTTATAATCGGATGTTACAATAATCCGGGCGGGTTCTATCGTGTCTATATTAATATAATCATGTGACAGGTTTGCTAAAAATATATATATAGTAATAGAACGGGACGGTGATTTAATTAATTAATATTGTCATATTAATATTAGATGTTAAAAATATGTTTCAGTTCGTTATAGAATGAGTTAGCTGCATATTCCTCGATTCAGATAGTTTTTTGGGGTGAATTAAATACCACAACAATTGTGATTCGCTTTATCTTTAAATTCCACAAGTCTAAATATCAATTTTAGGTAATTTGATGCATAATAATAATTAAACTCACAGACATATTTAATGTTAATGTTAATGTTAATGGGTTTTGAGATGTTCCGAAAACTGTAAATATTATAATGAACGATATTAATATCGTACGAGGGGCTATTTACGGAAAATAAATATAGAAACTTTGTGATCCAAAATCTTTTTTTAAAAAAAGCCAGAACGGATATATATGTGATAGCTTTAGTTTTAGTATAACAAAAAAGGCGAAGAGCGTCGCACCGATTTAATGTCAGGTTTTGAATTCTTAACAATCTTTGTAATAATAATATTTTAATAGAATAATTTTTTAACCCTTTTTTTTTCTTTCGATTTTCCAAGAGAATTTACTCTTTCCAATTATTATTAACATTTTGAAAAAAGCAAACAATAAATAGAGGATCTAAATTCTCATACTCATTAAATTCTTGTACTCGTTTTTTCTTTATTTTGAAGTATACCTTATATATTCATATTAATTTATATTAATATACAAAAAATGTCGAATTTAGAACGAATACAACAACAACCGTTATTAATGGCTCAAACATCAATTATTGAAAATGATGATAATATAAATAATAGCGATTTCAATGCCAATTCCAATTCCAATGCCAATGCTTCACAACACTCCAACTCCAACTTCAATTCCAATTCCAACTCCGATTCCCACGCCAACTACACCGACACAAATACTACTAATTCAGTTACAAAAACTCCGCTTGATCCAAATACAACAACATTTGAACAAAATCCACCTGAAACAGTTTCAACAAATTCTGAGAAAATAAAGTCTCATTCAGGAGCAGAATCGACAACTTTTTCATCACAAGTTGATGTATCATTATCTGGGACAAAAAATCATGAAGCAGATGATAAAGTCAGTCTAACATTACTTCTAGTTTCGGGGAAAAGACACACTTTTTCGTTTGACCCTAATGATACAATATTAACAGTTAAACAAAAAGTCTTTAGTAATTGGCCAAAAGGTATTTATTATAATGTGCCTTAGTTATTGGGAAATTATTTTTATTATCTAATTAAATGATTTATTCGTTATGAAATTTAAGAATGGGCAGATGAAACACCAAGTTCTATTTCAAGTTTAAAGATTGTATATAGAGGACGATTCTTGGAAGATATAAGCACTCTTGAATGTAAGGATATTACTTAAATTACATACATGTTTATTTATTTAAATATAGAAAAGAAAAGAAAGTAATAAAGAAAATCTTGACAGGAAATGTTACAAATATTAAACACATTTTTCACACACACATATATATGTGAAACAAACAAACAATCATAATGATTTATGGTCAAATTTTATATAATTCATGGAGAAACAAAGAAAAAGATTTTTAATTGATACAATAATTTAATATTATATTATTTCCTTTCTTTAGCTAACAAGATTCTTCGTGGTCAACCAACAATTGCACATTTAACATTCAAGAATATTTTAGCTTCTGATCTTGAAGGTTTGTTGTTTTGAGCGAATAATAAATATTTTCAGCATATACTGTTTTCTTTTTTAATTAACTAATTAACTTGCTAATATTTCACAAATTGTGTATATATATATATATATATATTAGATCTTAAAGTTACAGAAAATCCACCAAAATGTCATTGTATAATACTGTAAATTATTATTATTATTATAGTAATTATAATAATGAAACTTTATATTATTAGTGAAACATCCTATTATTACAAAAACAGCCGGTTTATATATATATAAATATATATATTAAATAATAAATTACACTCACTCACAATATCACCAAATGCCGCCACAACTACTACATAATAAATCACACAAACATTTTAATATTTACAACTCACAATCCTTATTTATTCATTTTTAACAAGTTACTTTCTTTTCTTATTTCCCTTAGATTGTTTTTGTTTTTTATATTTTTAATTTTTCAAACAAAAAGAGACTAAAATTTTTTTATATATATTATATAAATAATTAGGAATTAAATTTTTTGTTAATTATGTATTTTAAATTTCTAATTTTCATCGCATCATCATCTTCATTATAATTAATCCTTTTAATTATTTTTATTATTAATTTTTGAAAATAAGTTATTAGATTCAAAAATTAATATTAATTATAAAAATAAAAAAATTTTAAAATGTTGAACGTTAATTTTTTATTGGATTTCATTTTTTATCCAGCATTAATTATAAATAAATAGCTGATTGATTAAAGCTACATATAAGCAGTTTGAAAATTTTATATCAATTTATTTCATGATGGTGGTGGTGGTAATAATAATAACATAAATAACCCATCACTCTATTTCTCTTTTTCTCTCTTTTTCTCTTTATTCAAACTTTTTTTTTTCTACTTTTACAAATAATCTTTTTTTAGAATTAACAAATTTAGCTTTTGCTGTATTAATATCAACAACATAAGGTAATGGTAAATTCAATATATATTTTCCAGAAGAATTTACAAAAAGTCTAGAAGGCTCTATGTCAACAATTGTTTTCTCAATTAATTCCTGTTATATATCAACATTTTAAATGAGTAAATATTATAATCTCTAATAAGTATTTAAATAATTGACAAGTAGTTAGGTACTTACTAAAGAAGATATTTCAATTGCTATTAATAAATAGTTTATATTGTTGGCATCATGTTCTGTGATTATATACCCAGGTTTTTGAACATTTGAAGTATCATCTTCATCATTGTTGTCTTTGATTTTATTGTCATTTACCTTGTTTGTCGGATCTTTGATTGGCTTGGAAATTTCGGTTATTAAAGAGAATTTTTTCTTTGGAATCTTCACTGTTCTACTCTCTATAATGCCTTTATAATGCATTTTAGGAAATGTATATTCTAATATCATCATATTTAAATAATTAAATAATTAATTAAACAATATATTCAAATATAATATATCTACTTTTTTTTAAAAAAAAAAACCCCCCAATTTTTACCTCTGCCAAGTTCAATCATGTTTTTTTCTTCAATCAATTCCACGGCCACTTCACTCACATACAACTTAAAATCATAATCTTTTAGAATTCTTTGATACACCTCGTTGTTCACAATAAAATCGCATACAAGACATTTCTTCTGTGCTTTTACACATCATCACTTTTCGTTTCAGTAAAGATTCTCTCATATGAATCAAATTTTTAATTGAGAAAAAAAAATCATTCTATTTCTTTTTTTTTAATAATTTGACAAACCTGCATCTTTATCAAACTTTATGTCATTCAAAACATTTGGTACTCGATAAATAGCATCAGCATCACCATTCATAGCTTTTCGAAGTTCTTCTTCACTAGTACAAGTAGGCTTAGGTATTTTATCTGAATAACACATATTTATAAAAAATTTCATATTTGATGGATATTTATTTGTTTCCATGGAGGTTTTAACCAATGTTTTTAATACCATTCCTGGTTTTGGAAGTATATCGACTGTCTCGTACTCGGGACTCTGATCACTTGAAAACAATTCTATTTTTGACCGGAAATCATCCTCGACTTTTTTTTTTTTAAAAAAATTTTAATTTTAAAAATTTCAACAAAATATTAAAAGCAACAACTTTTTTAAATTTAAATTATTTTCTTACTTTCTTGCATCTCCAATTTTTTTGCTTGGTCTAGCAAAGGTTCTTTGAGAAAAAAATCCATTGCGTTTAAAGTTTCTCTAAACGAATCCTCGATCAAATTTTATTATTATTATAGTTAATATAAAATTTTGGATTATCTGTTAATCATTTGACTATTATTATTATTACTATATTAATATATTAATATGGGAGCTTTTCGATAGAAACGGAGCCATGTCGTGAGAAAAGCAATTTTGAGTTAATACCATTGCTATATGTAACTCCTCACGTGGAACATTTTTGGCTTAGAAATCATACCCACTTTGAATAGTAAAGTATCCAGATACTTTTAAAGTTTCAAAAAAACCTCTTAATATTAAGATGCAGATCTTTTTTTCTATTGAAAAGCCCGAATATTCATATATTCTGTTACACACATGAATACATACAAAAATTATCATAATAAAAACAAATAAGGTGGATATAAAGCTCCGGACATAGTCTCTTTCGTTTTAATAATATCCGTATATTTTATATTTGCATTTTTATTATTTATCATAAAAATAATGTCACTTTTTGACCTAATTCGTTTTGTAATAATAAAAATTTTTATAATTTAATAATAAAACAAATCAATTCTTTTTTTTTTCCAATAAAACACTTTGTGATCGGAAATTAAACAATAGGGTTGATTGACCGTTTGTTTTCGCCTGCAGTTTAAGTTTCGCCAACTTCGCTGCAAAATTAGGCCTAAACTATGGGTTAATTCCGGCCATCATCACTACTAGCCTTGTGTCTTTAATTATGTATTGCGTCACGAATTATCTTGAGTTACGTCTTGCGTCATGAACATCTCTTGTATCATAAATTGTGTTTTGCGTCATGCATAACACCGATTGCAGCTTTTAAACCAATATGACTGCTTTGCCTTTTATATTTAATTAATAAACAAAACTTTCTTATTAACCCGAAACCGACCCGTTAAGAACTTTAGGTGCATAAAACGAATAAACAAATAAAACAGTGAAACAATTTGAATAAAATGAATGAAGTGAATAAAATGAATAATTTGAATAAACAAGTAATTCAAAATAAAATGAATAAAATAGCAAATAATTTGAATAAAACGAATAATTCAATAATAAATGTATTACAAATAGAAACTCTAATGTAAGAGTTGTTATTAGGAGATATTCGAAATTAACTAATCCATGAATGCACAAAATTCATCTTTACCAATATGCATAAATTCTCTATTCATTTTTTGGAGATTGTTATATTTTTCAATACTTGCTGAATCTGCATAAAATATATTTTCGGCTTTTAAAATATATTGACTTTTTTCAGTATATCTTGCATCGATAAATTTATGTTGCTCTTTTAATTGATCTCTTATAACAAATAATTCATATATTGGAGTTTTGCAACTCTAGTTATGGAGTTTCGGATAAGTGGGGTAAATCCATACATATCTAAGTCATTAACCCTAATATCATTTATATAATATCACTTTGATAAAGTTTATATCTGGTCATCATATTAATATCTAATCATAATCTAATACTAAAAATAAATTGGTTGTCACGTGCAATTTAAAAAGGCCCAAGGATGCCTGTAGTTGGTATAATATGCAAACTGGGCCAAATAAAAATTTTTTTTGATCGGCATTGAATTCTACCTTTTAAACAAAAGACACCGCCACAATGAGATTGTCACAATAATAATAATAATAATAATAAATGACAAATTCAAAAACTCACCAGAAAAAAATTCTTTTTTATTACTACGTTATGAAATTAAAAACATCAGGCGATATTTGCGAAATTGTTCCCTCTTTCCTCTACCTTTCGTCAAACCAATCATCTAAAAATTTTGAATCCCTTCAACACTACAAAATAACTCACATTGTCAATGTAGCTGGCAAACAGCATGTTCCCTCACAATTTATCTATTTACGTAGCCACTTTCCAGACAGCAGTGATGCACCATTTCTAAAACATCTTCCAGCCATATTGGAGTTTATCGAGAGCACAGAAAAATTGGGCGGAAAAGTGCTTGTGCAATGTTCTGGTGGAGTGAGCAGATCGCCTGCAGTAGTTGCCGCATGGTTGATAAAGAAGAACGGGATGCAAGTTGATGAAGCGATTGAATTTATAAAGGAAAGAAGACCGGGCATTAATATCAATAAGGGATTTCTGGAACAGTTAAATATATTTAGACAAACAACACTGGATATTTCGTAAATGTTACTAAGCTCCTTTGAGTCTCATGTTCTTTAAGTATATCCTCAAAATTAATAGCCACATATTGTCCTTTATGTAATTATACTTATCTACCCTGAATTAAAGTACCAATTGATGGCATTTGCAAAGAAAATTCAAAGAAGTAGATGATAATAATGAGGAGGATGCAGAATATCTTCCATACATTCTAAAAGCTATAAAACAATAGACTTCAACTCAAGATTTCAACAAATTGCAAATAATATAAAGGAAATTGAAAAGGAATCTGAAAATATGTTTATATGTCCAAGAAAAAAGATCATGAAACAATAGATTTCAATTCAAAACTTCAACAAATTGGAAATAATATGAAGGAAATGGAAAATAAATCAATCAACCTTCTTTTTCAGCCACATGTTTTATTTTTTTTGAATGCAAGAACAATGATATATGATTTAAAGTATTATATGAAAAGTTACATGAAGATCTAATACAATTTTGTATTATTCGAATTATATTACCAATTACCAAAATTATATTAACAAATATTTCAAAATATGACTTTTTATTAGACGTGTTAAAACTTGGCATTAATTATCAATTGAAAATTTTTGTTTTGACTTTTAAAGATCATAAAATTATTAATTGTGAATAAAATATGTTATTGATTTTTGCTTAATACATGAAAGTTTTAATAAAAAAAAAAAATTTGACCATCTAATTAGTTCTTAAATATTTGCTATTAGTTTTTCAATTATTTCATAATAATTATCAGCTTCTTCTTACACATGCACATTTACAGAATCCAAATCTTATTCCACAATATATAATTACTCTCAATAACGAATGTATCAATTTTAATTTAATAAAATTTATAATCATAAAAAATTGATTGATAATTCAAATTCCAGTGAAACATAATTAGTAAAAACGCGTTTTTTATAAAAGAACCAAGGATTAGTTTTCATGCAAGATTGATAAATTAAAAAATAAATGAGTTTTTACTAATTAGTGCTTTGCTGGAATTTGAATTAACATCAATTTTTTATGATAAAACTCGAATTTTTTTGTTCTCACAAAAAATCTCTTGAATGTATGAAAGGCTCACTGTGTATCCTCTGTTGAAATCTTATTATCAATAATTTAAGTTATACACAATTATGTTGATTAAAGAATTGTTACCAAACCATAAAAAAATTATATTTTTAATGATTGTTACGCACCCATAAACAAATCCAAAATTGCACATTTACAGAATCCAAATCTTATTCCACAATATATAATTACTCTCAATAACGAATGTATCAATTTTAATTTAATAAAATTTATAATCATAAAAAATTGATTGATAATTCAAATTCCAGTGAAACATAATTAGTAAAAACGCGTTTTTTATAAAAGAACCAAGGATTAGTTTTCATGCAAGATTGATAAATTACATATTTATTACTAAGACTTCTTTTTTATTAATTAATTGAAATAAACTCTATTTTTGCAATATATGGAACCTAAGCAACAACGAAATAGAGTTTGTTTTCAAATTGCACGATTTTACAAATGAGATTTGGCACATGATGCTTTTTCCTATTCCGAAAAAGATAACCAAAACACGTGACCAGAAAAATTGGAAAAAATGTTTGGGCTTATTATTATTATTATTATTGTAATATATATACAAAGGAATATTTTTATTAATAGAATATAAAGTTAATTACTTGTTTAAAACTGGTTCAGTAAGAGTTTCCATCTTTAGTTATGTTTTATTTTTATCATTCTGATTTTTTTCCCCATTAATGTATACTAACTTTAAATGTACATAGAACAAGTAAATTTACAATAAAAAAAGAATCAATCCACGTTTTTTTTTTAATTGATAATCTTGTTAATCTTATGATGATGGATATATAAAAGGATCTCAATTTTTTTAAAAAAAAAAAAAACAAAAATATCATCTTGTTAATGTGAGTTGATTTTCGTTTTTAAAAAAATTCAGTAACAGAGTTGGTAGAATTGTTACTGACTGCCCATACCTTCCTGGAGCTCCCTGGTCACGTAGAGGATGAATGAGGTGTTCTAGTTCATAGGTTATTGGATAGGTGCGTAGGGTACTTAATGATGTCAGAGTCTGTAATAGAAGTCATCACGTCTGCGGAACAAGTGGAATGAGAAGTTACATCTGGTTGAAATTCATTTTGATGTCTAGGTTGCTTTTCAGACCTATTACATGATTCTGGTTATTAGTGCCCAGTGGAGGGGTTTTTATCATATAACACTAGTCTAGAACACACGGGCGTGCGCCCAATCTCATGGGAGATAATAAACTCAGGGGAGGGGTGGAGTGATCCAACTCATTGAAAATTGATTCGCTTAGCCATTTCCGCATTTGGCTAACCCTCCACTTTATTTATTTTTAGATGTCGTTGAGACGAAGAAGAAACAAAAACAAGATTACATTAAAGTAATTTAATATTGATAATAATTGTTTATTTCAACGATTTCAACATATACTAATTTTTAAATTTTTTTTTTATTTATCATTTTTAATATATGTTGCTGGATTTTATTATGTTTTTTTATGTATTATTACCGACTCTATCTCTCCTCCCATTAATCCAACTACCAATACCATTAATTCGACATTATTACCATCACCACCATCATTACCATTTACTTTTAAATCCTTGAAAAAAAAAAAAAATGTAAAGCAAAGTACAATAAAAATAAATAAATTATATATTGGTTCTTTGGATAGACTAAGTAACAAACAATGATTTTGCCGTGACGTGAAAGAGTACGTGTAACAGGAGGAAAAAATTTGCACGCGTTCAAAACATAAGTTTACGTGTTTGTGCAGTATATAAAGGACTGTTGTCCTCTAGGTATGGGGAGGCAAGGGGAGGGAACGGAAATTAAGTTTTTTAATTTTTTTACCACTCAACTTTTTAAATGACTTCATAACAGCTTAAAAAACAAAAATATTGATATTTCAATTAGAAACAAAATTTCAAAATTTAAATTTTGTTGTGTCGCAGAATATATATATATATATATATGGATAAAAAAATCTTGTGACTGTAAAATTTTTATTGCATTTTTGATTGGGAAATTTTTTCAAAATTGGCGGTGTGGCACAGAAAGTTGTGGGGACTAAGTGACTTGCACTATACAATTCTTTAACAAATAAAAAAATAATAATAATATGATTGGCTAATTTTGATGCTCCGAACGAATATTGGAGTTTCTATTCGTATTACAAATTCTTATTCGAACTATTATTTTTTCGTTTTATTCGAATTTGAATTATCAATAATAATAAAACTGACCATTTTTAAACCCCGAGATATCATGTAATTAAAAAAGTAAACCGTGAATTTGAAAGAGGAAGTCCCAATTTATCATTTTCACAGTTTATAAAAATTGGGGTATAAACTTTTGAACAGTATAGGTGTTCTGCACCATACACACACAAAATGATTAAAACAAATTTATGTTATATACACGATTTTATTTGCAATTTAAAAGGTTATTTATAACAGATAATAAAGTGTTTAAATACTTCATGGCCGTTAATGTTAGTATAAAGGACATACCAAAGCTTCAATTCTCGTGGTATGTATACTTGAACTAACACAACTGCTCAAAAATTTTTGAAATAAGTGTCAATAAAAAAAATAGTAATTGATTTAATTCGAATTCCTTGAGTTGGTATAAAAAGGCTTTTAATAAAGGATCTTTTTTTTCAACCATTTTTATAAATTCATTATAATTTTTTTTTTTCACGATATTGATATATACTTGTATAAAACAGATTTTTATTTTTTCATTAAAAAAAAAAAATCGGAAAATTGCCATCTAAAAAAATTAATTTATTCAATTATTAATTATATTGACTTGATGGCCTAGTAATTTTTTCTAATTCTGCTTTTAATTCAATAATTTGATTTGTAACTATATTTAAACACCAAACTACACTACACTATAACAAATTGCGCTATCTTCCACCATTACACTCTTCATTTGCTTTGCTTGGTCGCGACTCTATAAAAAATTAAGCAATTGTAAGTATTGTGAATATTTATATCACTCATGTGTTTTGCCCACTCATTCGTGAGAGTTTTTGTTTTTTAAAGGCGTTCTCTCAATAACCTACATAATAGATGTTTGGTTTTTGGGTACTGACATGAAGAGAATAATCTTAACCTTCAAAGTGAAATAAACGTGATGTTACTCTTAAAAATTATTTTGGTCGTTTCTTGTAATAAAAATATGTAAGTAAATGTTTCCCAAATTCTTCAACAAAGAATTTCATGAAATAGAAACAGTTGAATGATTGATAAACACAACTCTTCTAATATGAAAAAAGCAGGCGAGATTTGTATAATAAATTCGTTTGCGCATTATAATTGGTGTTTGTGATAATATTCTTTCTTACTTAACGCTACGAACTCCATTAACGGATATATTATCTTGGACCACATTTTTTTAAAAATGAAATTAATTAAAATGTTGCCAGTAAGTTCTGTTAAAAAAAATAATGAGTTAATTTATACATTTAGCAACTGAATCAAAAAGTCGAAGTTTTTCGTTTTCTGAAGCAATTCCTCCTTTTTATTTTTTGTCTTTCAAATTTACCATTGACTTTGACAAAAATATCAAAAGACAATTACTTGCGATGTTTAAAAGGTTATTAACTATAAGTCAATTAGTTGATGAAACAATTAAAAACATCGAGCATGTCCAAGTGGTGGATTATGGCGATGATGGAGATAAATATTATGATGAGGATGGAGATGGAGAAGATGATGATAGAGAAGATGAAGATGAAGAAAAAGAGGATAAAAATGAAGGAGAGGACGAGGATGATGAGATTAATATCATAAAAACAGAAATAATACCTAAAAGACCACAACTCGTAATTTACCTTCCAAGCGTAACAAACATTAACGTGTCAAATACAAATATTTATTTATTATCATAATATTGGGCAGTGATTAATTGTATTAATTTGCAATAATAGCAATAAATAATATGTAAAATAAAAAATAATAGAATCGGGATTTCTAAATACCAGAAAATTAGAAAAATAAAAATCGAAGGAAAACTTGGCGAAAGCTTTATTAAATGGCCATATAACTGCCAAGGTTATAGAATATGTGTAATTTTAATTTCTCTATGAGCCTACCCAGGACTAAGTGATATGCTATTCTCTAATTAGCATATATCGTATGGATCTAATAAATCAATAGTTCAAATTATAATAAATTCAATAATTTTCTCTTGATATAATCTAAAAACAGGATCAACCTGACATTTATTAAAAGAATGTCATTTAATTAATCATAATAATAAAAATACTATGGAAATATATCCTACGATTTATAAATAACATTCATTAATGCACCATCATTATTGTTAGGTCATTCTTCCATTTAAATATCAGTTATTATATTGTCGGTTCGTGTCCGAGATTCGAATTAAACTCCTACAAATCCCAGCGGTGGAGCGTTATTTACTGACGATTAGTCAATTATGCCTTTCTTGGACAGATTTTGTATTTATTTAATTCGTCTCTCAAAGTCAGACCGTCTCGCCCAATTAATTGATGTGTTCCAATAAAGATTCGGGTTGCGTGTAAATGTCAATTAATCGATTATTTTATTATAATTATGATATATCATTATAATTGTTTTATTAGATTAATAATAATAACGATATCAACACAATAATTAAAAGAGCAAAAACATACAAACACAAAAACACAAGAAGAGTAAAGATCCTTTTTATACTTCTTGGAGTTTCACGAAGGTTATTGTTATTTACATTTTCATCAAGAAGAGCTATTTAAAGATCAAGCAATTATTTTTGTGTCTTGTTTACAAATTAATTACCTTTGATTCCTAACCTAAGATAATAAAGGTTCCGCCTTGAGTCGTTTTATTACTAATTTAATATTAATATAGTGTAAGTCACTTTTTTAAAACTTCATTGTCACGTGTCTTTGAAGATCGTCAATGAATCAATGAAGAATATTATGCATAAAGAATAGTATCCAATAAAATAAATATGATATAGTTGTTACGCGATCATCAATCGTTTCTTTTCATCAGCTTTATCTTCGATTCGTAAAGTAGAATCGATTGCCTCTTTTTTTCAATATCAATACCATCACGTGGGCACAGCCAGTAAACACATATTACCCCACTTTAAGTAAAGAAGACTCGCCTTGTTGCATATTTGAATTTTTCTTTTTTGTTGTGGTGAAAGCATCTAAAAATAAGAAAATGAAAAAAGATTTTTTCGTTAGCCAAATAATTGACTAAGCAAAGCTACCTTGAGTAAAACAGGCATAAGCCAACACATGAGCCATCTTGAGTGGGGTCACTCCTCCAAAGAAGGGCAGCCAGTAAAAAGTTCCACCCACTTTATTAATTTTCGAAAAAAATAATAATTCACTGGACTTTCAATGACTATGAACTAACACATTGGCCTGAACTCAGTACAGTCGTATAATAGGACGATCCGAACAGCCAGTAATAAGTTCCACCCACTTTACTTTACTGAACTTTTAGTAATACTTGCCTTGTATGGTGTTGTCACGCAATCTAAAAAAATATTACAATATTGTTCGTTTTCGACAATCCAAAATGATTTTTGAATAATAATAAAAATGAGACGACGTTTCGCTGTTATCATTATGGTTGTTTTTTGGAATATTAATGGGAGAAAAAAAAACAAAAATGAATAAAAATAGAAATAACTAAAATGGAAACTCTTACTAAACCAGTTTTGAAACAAGTAATTATTCCTCGTGAGCCAAGGTTCTCAATTATGATACTTAAGAAATACAACATATATACTGTACTATTGGATAATTGATAAACGTTCGTAAAGTATAATGATTAGAAAGATTTTTTTAAATATAATAATATTATTAAATAATAATAAATACAGATCATACATTGTAAAAAACTAAAGATTTGTTATACTCGCTCCATTTATTCCTTCGGTAATTATGTGATCTAATTTCATGTTTTTTCATAACGGTTTTATAAATTAGAGAATAATAATTTTATTAAAAATAAAAGTTCACTACCATGAGACGGCTCTTCTGATCAATACCCAACCGATAAGTCCTAGTCATGAGCAAAAACATCATGTCGATTAGTCACCACATCGTGACATCATAATTACAGGATCTCAAGTGATATCATAGTGAAAAATAAAGGTTAGGTTACACAATCAAAATCATGCGATGAGGGTACCTTCTCAACATGGAGGTCCATTATATGCTGACTTCATTAACCATCAGCCATCAAGAATAATCCATCGGAAGCAGACCACATCTTACATACCTTTAACAAGTGAACAATTGGATCTTGCATTAACCCAGGTTCTCGCATATATGATTATCACCTAATACTAAGACCAGAACTTAGGAAAACATCATACACAAGAGGTCTAATACAATTTTGTATTATTCGAATTATATTACCAATTACCAAAATTATATTAACAAATATTTCAAAATATGACTTTTTATTAGACGTGTTAAAACTTGGCATTAATTATCAATTGAAAATTTTTGTTTTGACTTTTAAAGATCATAAAATTATTAATTGTGAATAAAATATGTTATTGATTTTTGCTTAATACATGAAAGTTTTAATAAAAAAAAAAAATTTGACCATCTAATTAGTTCTTAAATATTTGCTATTAGTTTTTCAATTATTTCATAATAATTATCAGCTTCTTCTTAAAAATGAACATTTACAGAATCCAAATTTTATTCCACAATATATAATTACTCTCAATAACGAATGTATCAATTTTAATTTAATAAAATTTATAATCATAAAAAATTGATTGATAATTCAAATTCCAGTGAAACATAATTAGTAAAAACGCGTTTTTTATAAAAGAACCAAGGATTAGTTTTCATGCAAGATTGATAAATTACATATTTATTACTAAGACTTCTTTTTTATTAATTAATTGAAATAAACTCTATTTTTGCAATATATGGAACCTAAGCAACAACGAAATAGAGTTTGTTTTCAAATTGCACGATTTTACAAATGAGATTTGGCACATGATGCTTTTTCCTATTCCGAAAAAGATAACCAAAACACGTGACCAGAAAAATTGGAAAAAATGTTTGGGCTTATTATTATTATTATTATTGTAATATATATACAAAGGAATATTTTTATTAATAGAATATAAAGTTAATTACTTGTTTAAAACTGGTTCAGTAAGAGTTTCCATCTTTAGTTATGTTTTATTTTTATCATTCTGATTTTTTTCCCCATTAATGTATACTAACTTTAAATGTACATAGAACAAGTAAATTTACAATAAAAAAAGAATCAATCCACGTTTTTTTTTTAATTGATAATCTTGTTAATCTTATGATGATGGATATATAAAAGGATCTCAATTTTTTTAAAAAAAAAAAAAAACAAAAATATCATCTTGTTAATGTGAGTTGATTTTCGTTTTTAAAAAAATTCAGTAACAGAGTTGGTAGAATTGTTACTGACTGCCCATACCTTCCTGGAACTCCCTGGTCACGTAGAGGATGAATGAGGTGTTCTAGTTCATAGGTTATTGGATAGGTGCGTAGGGTACTTAATGATGTCAGAGTCTGTAATTGAAGTCATCCCGTCTGCGGAACAAGGGGAATGGGAAGTTACATCTGGTCAAATTCATTTTGATGTCTAGGTTGCTTTTCA